TAATTACCCACACCTAATTCTACATTGTTGTCAGTAGATATTATAGCATCTTTTTTCTTTAGACCGTAGACAGGAACCAGGTCTTTCCCCTTCCATTGTCAGAGTAGTGTAGTGGTATGAGGAGTTTGGGCTCAAGCTTTAGAGTCAGACTGCTCGGCTTCAAATTCTAACTCTGTAGTCCCTTATCCCGAGCTCTTGGGCAAGTCAACAAACCCTTCTCTAGTCATCTGTGAGCTGAGGCATTGAATGTGCGTTGCTGGGTCACAGCCTGGCTATGATAACTAATGAGTTTACTGAACATGCTTAGTGCCTAGCCCATCTAGGTCCTCAGTAAATGTTACCTGGTATTGTTATCTCTAGCACATAGCCCAAGGCCTGTACAAAATGGGTACGCAGTTGTTGTTGGTTGAATTGAATTGACATGAAACAACAATAGCTTGGTAGGAAGATGGGAAATGTTGTGCTGTAGGGGACTTGCATGAGCAAATTACTTTGGGGAAATGAGAGTGGTATATTTATTTAATAAGAAGCAGTAGATCATAGAATTATAGGATCAGAGTCTAGTTTTCCAGCTGTGGTATGGTGAACACAGAGCAGAGTGGGATCATCCGCGTCCTCCATTCACCCCATGTGCTAGACACTGCAAGTCTATAAATACTCCATTTGTTATTGCAGTCGCTCTTATAGACTGCTGTTGATTGAAATATTTCCTTTTCAATACTGTGCAGTTGCTTTTAAAAAAAATCTAGATGCTAGACTTTAAGTATAAATACTGTTAAATTTAATTCCATTAGGGTCAGTCCATCATTCCAATTAATTCACATCTCTTCCAAACTTGTCTCTGCAGTGCAGTATGTCATCTGTCCTGTCTAGCTTTGTGTTATCTGCAATTTTGTAATCATGCCTTCTATTTTGTTTTCTAAAACGCTATTCAGGCCACTTCGAAGAACATTCCCCTCACCTATCACTGGAAACCTCCTTTCATGTTGACATTGATTCATTAAACATTCTTTTTTTCCTGTTGGGATACAAATTTTTAACTCCTTTCAAATCTAGCAAAGCATGCAATAATCCATATTTTCTCTTGTTCATAAGAGTGTCATGAGAAATGTTGCCAAAATGTTAAGTCTGCAGCATTTTCTCCTTGGGATATGGTGAATCTATTAGAAAAGAAAATGCAATTGGTTTGTTGCAATCTGTTCTTTGTTAACCTATGTCAGTTCCTAATACCAACAATGTCCTTTTTCTGTGTTGAACAAAGAGTTCATAATTCAAAGTAATGAAGTCTAATGTATCAAAGTAGGCCAAATTCAAAGTACAGAGCTTTGCCTTCTAGGTGAGAAGTTTGGGCACAATCCTGATGGCAGTGAAGCATTGTTGAAATTTCTGACTAGGGTTGGTATGGTGAAAGTGAGTTTTAAGAAAGTCATTTGGCTGCAGTGCCTACAGTAAACTCCAGAGAAATCTTATCTGAAGTTTGAAGTTTGCTGCAATAATCGTCCCAGAACAGGCTGCTGGACTACACTGGGTTAGGCCACTAGCAATGAAGACAGAGATAATGAATATGTTTTAACAGAATAAAAAAATCAAAAGGAAGTATTGAGAGAAGATGATATGAGTCAAAAATAAATAAATAAATAAAAACAGATACTTTAGGGCTTCCCAAACTTTTCACATTATTTTTTTTTAACTTTTATTTAATGAATATAAATTTCCAAAGTACAGCTTATGGATTACAATGGCTTCCCCCCCCATAACATCCCTCCCACCCGCAACCCTCCCCTCTCCCACTCCCTCTCCCCTTCCATTCACATCAAGATTCATTTTTGATTCTCTTTATCTACAACATATAGAAACATATATCTACAACATATAGAAAATAATATCAGCTTGACCACTGAAGTAAATATGATTACTTTGAGATGGAGATGACCCAATGTCATGAGCACCCAAGGCTCATTCAGTTCTCCCCCAACTACCACCTGTCCCCAATCACTGGCATAGCACATATTAATAGCTGGAAAATCATTTGGGAATTTCTACTTGAGAAGTTAATCATCTTAGCTCTATGAGCAAAAACAGACTTCCAATGAAATAGAAGCAACAGTACCAGGAAGACTATAAAGAGAGTCCTTGACAGTTCTCTCTTGTGGTTCTGGGAAGTGGGAAGAACCATAGCTATCAGCAGCTCAGGGAAAGTGGATGCCACTGAGACTCTATAGTATGCTGTGTTGCTATGATGATCAGCAGGCTAGGTAAAGCAAATGCACTTTCAACTTACTGTGCTTTCAATGTATGATGGGTTTATGGGATGTAACCCCAGATGTTAAGGAGCATCTGAACACATTTTAAAAAAGCAAGTATTTGTTTCAGTGCACAATATGAGACATAGAATCAAATTATCATTTACATACTTAGAAAAAGGTGCACCAGCATCAAGGTTAATGCTAAGGAAAGACTACATGAGTGCCAAGCAAGATAGCCTAGTACACCAAACCACTGCCCACATTAAAATGATGCAATAAAACAAGGGCAGTGACTGTGGGGGCTTAATTTATGCATGAAAGCAGTCAGCACCACAGGGCTAGCTGGAGGGAAGAAGTTGGTAGGAACCTAAAAGGAGACAAAAGCAAAACAATGAGCAGAGGGATTTGGGATTTTATATGAATATGGAAATCCAAGCCTATTTGCTTCAAAATTTAAGAAGTACTGCCAACTTGTTGCTTCTTAGTGATTTCTGTATTTAATAAATTAAGTAGTTTTGTAGTTCTGTACCTCACCTGTTCTATTAATTTTCATTGTAGCAGGGAAGAGTTAATAGGTTGCAAAAATGTAGAAGCTTGCAATCCATTATTACTGTTGATAATTAAAGATACTCAGTTGCAGAAATTTTTTAAAATGTTTTCCCATGATTTGTTTAACTCAATGGCAGAGTGGGAACAAACAAACCAGTAAAATGGTGTAGATTACATTATAAAAATAGGAATGAACAGCTCTTCTAAAAGCTAATGGAGTCCACACATTTCTCCTGATGATTGGCAGCAGGCTACCATGTGTATGATTCAGGAGGCACCCTTCTTGCATGTTGGAGTCCCTGCGAGTGGTGTTTTCTGGTGTTGGGGCACATGCTTGTGTGGCTGTAGGTGGCAGCTCCCAGAGAGATCTAGCTGACTAATGCATCCCAGGGCTTCTACCCAGCAGAGCAGGTGCATATCTGCATTGACCCGTGCATTCATCACCAGCCTAACCATGCTCCCTTCCCCAGACAAGCTGCGTCAGTATTCTCTCATCCCTACTTACCATTTTATTCCAATTTGGATCCAACTAGTTCTCACAGTTCCCCACGGGACTTCTCCACAAGCCAAAACACATCCTCCTGGCTCATTTGCTCCCGTCATTCTGTTGACCTTTCCACAGCTGTTTGCTGCTCTCACTATCATGCTCCTTGTTACAGCTAAGTAGAAAAAACCAGAAGCCACAATGGAACTCTGGCATCCTCACAGCCCTGGGTACAGGCTTTGGTTTTAGCACTTGCCACACAGGGCTGTAAATGTTTACATTTCTGATCCCCCCCCCTTTTTTTTGACAGGCAGAGTGGACAGTGAGAGAGACAGAGAAAGGTCTTCCTTTGCCATTGGTTCACCCTCTAATGGCCGCTGTGGCCAGCGCGCTGTGGCCAGCACACTGTGTTGATCCGAAGGCAGGAGCCAGGTGCTTCTCCTGGTCTCCCATTGTGGGGAGCAACTCGGACTATACTAAGTTACTGGAATTAGGACTTATTCTATGCATCTGCTCTCCCACAATATGGCGCTGGGAGAGGAGTAAACAGCTTCTATGCAGCTGCCTCCAGTTTAACCAATAAACAGCAGGACCTGCTCCTGATTGCAGGAGAGCAGCATACTCGGCGTGTGGGTAGCAGAGTTGGGATTGGTGGAAGAGGACTATAAAGGAGGAGAGAGACAACATGCACCAGGAACATCTATCTGAAGGAACACCTGTGCAGCCCCCGAGAGAGCCGGCCGGCGGTGTGCCGCTCCCCCGCGGAAGTGGGGAAAGTGGCAGGGGGAACCGCCCCTCCATGGAGGTGGAAGGACGGCAGCCAACCCGGGAAGAACCAGCAGCAAACCCGGGGAGGGCCGAGCAGACAAAAGAACAGCGCAGGGTCCTGTGTCGTTCCTCCACGAAGAGGGGGAGCAACATCCCATGGGGTGCAGGGCCCAAGCACTTGGGCCATCCTCCACTGCACTCCCAGGCTACTGCAGAGAGCTGGCCTGGAAGAGGAGCAACCGGGACAGAATCCAGCGCCCTGACCAGGACTAGAACCCAGTGTGCCAGCGCCGCAGGTGGAGGATTAGCCTAGTGAGCCGTGGCACTGGCCTCTGATCCCCTTTTTCATGAAGGGCAGATGGATGCATCTTTGAGACTTGGGGCTTAGCAGGGAGCCTAGCACGTAGTGTGTCTTCACTTACTGCTTGGAAAATGAGTGAGTGAATGAACATCACCCTGTTTTTTAAGATTTATTTACTTGAAAATAGAGTTATATAGAGAGAAGTAGAGAAAGAGAAAAAAATCTTCCATTCTCTGGTTCATTCCTCAAATTGCTACAACACATAGGGCTGAGCCAGACCAAAACCTAGAACTCCATCCAATCTCCTATGTGGTTGGCAAGGGCCCAAATACTTGGGACATGTTCTACTGCTTTCCCAGGTGCATTAACAGGGAGCTGAATTGGAAGTGGAGCAGCTGGCACTCCCAACTGGTACTAACATGGGAGTAGGTGGCAGCTTAACCCTCTGTGGCATAGTGCTGGCCCAGCTGTTTCTTGGATTTGAACACAGTAGGCTCATTTTCAGCATAAGGTTTAAGAAGTCTCCTGTTGTCTTCATGGCCTGCATCTGTTAGTCTTCATTTAACAGCCTCCTGGGAAGTTTTACCAATGATAGGCGAGATCACTATGTTGTGTCCCATGGTTTCTGAGTCTTTCCTTCATCCTTGTGCAGGTGGGGAAGTGGAAAGACAAATCCCTGCAAATGAAGTACTACGTGTGGCCCCGCATGTGTCCTGAGACTGAAGAACAGGAGGATGACCACCTGAGCATTGTCACCCTGGAGGAGGCACCATTTGTCATTGTGGAGAGTGTGGACCCTCTGAGTGGAACCTGCATGAGGAACACAGTCCCCTGCCAGAAGCGCATCATCTCTGAGTATGACACTCTCCCTGATGGCTCTGGAGGCAGGGGTGGGGCAGATGGGATGCAGCTGTGAGCCTGGGACCATGTATGAGGCATGGAATGAGTTGGGCACCATGTCCAATTCTCAGTTCCTCTCAAGCTTTGTATTCACTGGCAGCTCTGTGGTCTGGTGTCTGGGTCTGTCTAGATCCCAGCCTGGCAGAATGGATGCTGGCCAGGATAACATCCCTTTGGCCTTGCCTGGCCTCAACCACCAGGGTCTCAAGTTTATGGAGATTTAAATTTACTGTTGATGTTGAAATATGTTTTCTTGGACCAGCATGCTCTAAAATTTTGAGATTTAATGCCATCTTTTTTTAATAGATAAAAGTATTCTCTGCTGAGACAAGTCAGGGTAATGGCTCTGTTTGGTGAGGATGGGAAATACCTGGAAGGCAGAACAGGCAGCCACCCAGGTGGCTTTTCTGTCCTTGGGTTAAGGCACTGGTTCAAAGGGAGAGTTCAGTGTGTGAAAATTCATCAAATAGATCCCTAGGATGTGTACCCTTCCCTGATGTATATTGTGCTTCAAAGGCATGTTTAAATTTTTCATAAAACGTGGCTCAATGTGATGAGATAATGAAAATATTGCAGTTCTGGAATGATTTATTCCTTCATTCAGGTCTCTTATAAATTATGCTGAGCTGTGAAGGGGTGGCTCCTGCTTTGGGGTTGGAGATTTAATGACAAAGAGTAATATTCTGCCGCTTGTACAAAGCGTTGTTTTTGTTTTGTTTGTTTCTTTAACCGGCTAGGAATAAAACAGATGAGGAGCCAGGCTACATCAAAAAATGCTGCAAGGGGTTCTGCATTGATATCCTTAAGAAAATTTCTAAATCTGTGAAGTTCACTTATGACCTTTACCTGGTGACCAATGGCAAGCATGGGAAGAAAATCAATGGAACCTGGAATGGTATGATTGGAGAGGTGAGCATCAGTAGTTAAGAGCTGTTTCCATTATTCATTTATTTTGTTTCACTTGGATATTGTGTAAATACTCATCCAATGAATCTCAGAAAATACAAAGTTGTAAATAGAATATGGTGTGGCTCTTTGTGAGGTCATGTGGTCCCTTGCCTTCCTGAATGTTCTAACTGGAGCATTGCACCTTTCTCTTCAGGTGGTCATGAAGAGAGCCTACATGGCAGTAGGATCACTCACCATCAATGAAGAACGCTCAGAGGTGGTCGACTTCTCTGTGCCCTTCATAGAGACTGGCATCAGTGTCATGGTGTCGCGCAGCAATGGCACTGTGTCCCCTTCTGCCTTCTTAGGTGAATGAGGTGTCTCCTGGGGGGAAGGGAATGGAAAGGATACACCAGGGCTCTTCATCTGGGAGGCGGTTTGCTAGGAAAATCAGAAGCCATGATGCCCTTTTGTAAGACAACAGTGGTGGACTGGTAACCAGTGGCCTTGCCTTGGTCTGATTCTCATCACTAAAGTCATCATTTGGCCTTGAGAAAGGTTGTTCCAGCAAGGGACTAAGTTTCCTTATCCACAGCAGGTATTTCATCCAGTTCATCTCAGAGGCTGCTTCCTACTATAATAATTTCCAAATCTGGATATCATTGAAATACCTATTTATTTTTAATTATCTTTAAGAAGTGAGCCCAGTGCTACCAAAGACAGATTTCTATTTTCACATGAAGCTTCTGAGGCTTTGCCAGACAGAGCAGATCTGATTTTTCCTCCCACCTCACCGCATCCTTCCCCATACCCTCTCTGCTTCCCCACCCTCCAGCATCTCTTAAATGTCAAAAGCCCTAGATGTGATATAAGACCAAGTGAATAAGGCCAAGATTTCAATTAGAAGAGGTCTTTTGTGAACTCATACCCCATATTTTTGCAGGGCCTATAGAGCAAAAGGTTAGAAAATAAAATGAAAACAGAATACTGGCCAGGAGACCAAAAACCTGGTTTGATCATCAGCAAGCTATAAGCCCTTGGACCAGTCACAACCTATCTAAGGAACGGCAGTGTGTATTAAGTGGGCAAAATAGAATAGACAGTGATTAACATTTATTTAAACGGTTACCCACAAAGAATTAATTCAATTAATGTCCTGCAAAGTAGAGTTACAGGTTCCGTAGAATTTCTCCATGAAGTCTTCAAATTTTGAGTTAATCTTCTTACTCAAAATGAAGCAAATTCTGGCCATGCCAGTTTTATGTGAAATACTATTAGATTGCATACATGCTATGTATTAATCTTCATAGTTGATGTATTTTTTTTCTTTACAAAGGTAATTGGAACATTAAGAGACACAAACAGAACAATGTAATACTTCTAACTCTGTCAGTATAGCACAGACGTCTGAACTGAAGGACCAGTGGCATATAGGTAGAGTGCTAGAATGATTTAGAAATGCCAAGTAGAGTGTGTTTCTTAGTGTGTTTGGTGGATGAGCAGCTAAATAGTTACAGGGATGAGAGAAGCCAACCTCTACTGAAAACCTACCATGTGGTAAGCCAGGCCTTACTGTACAACCTTAGGTTGCACTAGTAATACTAATCTTACACCCATTTTATAGCTTAGCAAACTGAATCTTAGACAGTTAAGCCATTTTCCAACAGTCTTTCAGCTAATAACTGGCAGATCCAGAATTAGAGTCTGGCTAAAGCCTGTGTTTAATACAGGTGAGGTCATTTCAGAGTTCAACCCCTGATCTAGGAACCAGTGCAGTGGACAGAGACAAAGGTGCAACGTAAAACAATGGGACAAGGAAGACTTTGTACCTCTGAGGATCTGAGTTTGCAACCAGGCCCTGCCACTTTCTGAGTATATACTTGGAAAGGACCTTGGCATTTCATTCTTAGTTTATTCCTTTGTAAAACAGAAAATGCAGTCCCATTGTAGGAGAACTGTTAAAGGGATCATACTCCTATGTGGTATGTGGTAACAGTACTTTCTAAACTGCAGACCAATACATATGTTTACTGAACTTTTTGAATAGAAAGTTGCCCTGGGATTAGGTGGGGAAAGGAGATCATAGAAGGGATGTTTTTATTCAGTTATCTCTCAATCTTAAACAAAAGTGAAATCAGGGTAGGATAGCAAGGAGAGTCTTGCTATCATGCACAACAATGCAGAAGCTTTGAATTGTACCTTCTACCCTCACGGTCTCTGGCTGCCATTGAAAGGCTTTGTGTTTCATAATAAGTATATTAATCTCAGGAGCTTTATTAAGGGCCCTTTTAGATTGATTAAAAAATCAGGCTTTTATAATTCCTTTGGAAGCTCAATAGTAAAGTCAGTCTTGGAGTCCAAAAGATATTTCCTAATTTTCAGTCAATTTTACCCCTTTTTCAGCTTCATCTTTATTAATGACTTGGAAGATGGAGCAAACAGCATGTTAATTCACTTAGTTATGAGTTTACAATGTGATGTGACAGCTAAAAAGGCCAGAACTATTTTGAGACACAATTGAGGGAGCATTGCATCATGGGACAGAATAGCCATTGTCACTTTTTATAGCCCTTCAGAGAGATGGCTTCTGGAATATAGTGTTCAATTTCTGGACATCGCCAAGCCAGAGAGATTTAGCTCAACTGGAAGGGGTTCAGCAAAAATGAATAAAGATATTAAATAAAGCATGTGGAAAACATTCTCGCCATCTTGCCTGGTCTTGTCCCATCAACCCTGTCACTTGGTAATAGGGCATAGATTAGAGTTGTTCTGTGAATTAAAGCTTATTCACATTGCTGTGTCTCCTGTTATATTCCCATTGTTTCAGATACTGATATTCAATGTGTATGGATTTTTTTACCTTGACTCATACTTGTATTCTCTTACCCTAATTATGTCTAATAAAATATACCATATTGAAATGGATTGAAAAAGGAACTCTAGACCAGGAAGTTTAAGCATGCGGACAAGGGACTTGGTTATTCATTGTACATAATTATCACCAAAACAATTTAACTCTGATGTGGTAGCCAAATCTATAGAGAATGCATTTGGTGGAAAGGCTTAGAAGCCCCAGGAAAGGCCTTTCCAGGCCTCCACTGTGTGCTGTGGCCGTAGAGATGAGAACATAAACCAAGTCAATCCAGTTTGATTCACTGGCTCTGTGTCTAGGTCTTCCAAGGCGCTGTTTACTCAAAGACTTCAAGAGTGACAGAAACTATAGTCTCTATAGCCTCAGAAGATTCATGGGCATGAGTCTGTCCTCCTCATGGCGGGGGGGGGGGGGGAGCAAGAGGGGAAGGGGGAAGAGGAGAGGAGAGGAGGAAAGAAAGAGAGGGAGGGAGGGAGAGAGAGTGAGTGAGTTAAGAGAAAGAAAGAACCCTTGAAACTCACCCATCCAAGAAACAGAGTTGCCCAGGCAACATAATTCTTGCTTCTTCTTCTTCCAGGATCTGTCTTACACTGAAGGCATGCAATGAACTTTAGTTTATTCTCCCCCAAAACTCACAGTTGCCTGATCCAGTGAATAGATGAATTAATGAGAGTCTGTTTGTTCTCTGCTTTAACCCTGGGCATTGTTTTCTTTTCCTTCCCCAGAGCCATTCAGTGCGGATGTGTGGGTCATGATGTTTGTGATGCTGCTAATCGTCTCAGCTGTGGCTGTCTTTGTCTTTGAGTACTTCAGCCCTGTGGGTTATAACAGGTGCCTCGCTGATGGCAGAGGTAAGGCCAGCTGGAACTGCTCCATATCTGCACTTTCTCTGTTGGTAATTCCAAATCCATGTACCCCTCATGTGTTACCTGCATCCTCACTAACTTATCTAGTTCTGAAAAAGTAATCCTTAGCTTTTTTAGATCACCAGCTTGGTGGCTTAGTTGAAATACCCCAACTAAGATGTTTGAATCTGTATGTGCCCTGCTCTGTTCATGGCTGGCCCCAAGCCTATTTGCACCCCTAAGAAAATGAGAGGAAGGATGAGTAGGAGCTACAGGCAGCAACAACACACCCAGGAAACTATTTTAATAAACTTAGGCTCTGGGAAGTGTGTTAGAACAGATGTGACTAACAAGGCAGATGGTACACATGCATAAGGAAGAAGGGAAAATAGGTTATCCAGGGTCTTTGCAGGTGGTTGGGGCTAGTAGAGTTCCCCACTGCCAAAGGGTCACTGCTGAGGTACGTGATTTCTAAAACCTACATCCCTAGCTCAACTCCTTGCCATGGAGTCTAGGAGCTCAGTGTTTGAAATACAATGGAAGAGGAAAACAGTTCTAGCCAATAGCTATGAGTGGGGAGTTGCCCAATTTCTTGAGTAGGAAGGTTCAGAGATTTGAGGACTACCCGTGGTTCAGGGCATTTATGACACTTTTAAAATGCCCACTGCATTTTGGAAGAACCAATGAGATCCCTGTGTAGAGCCCCTCCAAAACTTCCTTAGAATCCTAGGATTAAGAAATATTTTACCAGGGCCAGCATTGTGGTGTAGCTGCTTAAGCTGCCATTTGCAGCACCAGCATCCCATATCAGAGTGTCATTTCAAGTCTCAGCTACTCTGATTCTGATCCAACTCTCTACTAATGCACCTGAGAAGGCAACAGATAATGGCCCAAGTGCTTGGGTCCCTGACACCCATGTGGGGAGACCTGGCTTGAGTTATGGGCTCCTGGCTTTGGTCTGGCTTTTCCCTGGCTGTTGTGGCCATTTGAGCATTGAATTAGCTGATACATAATCTCTCTGTGTGTCTCTTGATTTCTGATATCCTGCCTTTCAAACAAGCAAACAATCTTTTAAAAATAGTTTTTTAAAAGAAATATTTTACCTTCTCTGAGTATTTCCACTTCTAGAATGTGAGCTCTTTCCTTCAACGAGAAAAGATTCTTAACCCTGGTCATGCAGAAGAATTACCTGTGGGACATTTGAAAAACTAAGGTTCTTGAGCCTAATGTTCTGGTTCACCAAGTCTAGGATGGTGATTGGCCCACTGTGTGCTTTAAAATAATGATTCTGCAACCTGGTAGCACATTAGCATGAGCAGCCCCACTCCACACTAATTTAATAAGAATAGCTTGGAGTAGGTTACCAGGCAGCAATATTTTGAAAAGCTGCCCTCGTTTTTTTGTTGAATTTATAGTCTAGACATGAATTAGCACTTCATTGACATGGTGCAGATGTCGATGTGTCTTTTCATTTGGTTGGTATATTCTGAGGTAGGATTCTGGCTGTCTCCACAGTATGGTGTTGTCAGAGGGTTTTCTTCCTATAACAGATCACCCTGAAGCTGTGGCATGTATCTCAGCCTTAGAGGTACCAGTAAGAAGTATACCCTTGGGAAATACATGAGCATATACATAGCCTGGCAGTGTCAAGAGCTAAAGTTTGTGCTTCCCTCTCACTCTTAAAAAGCCAGGTGCAAACCCAATCCTACAAAACTCAAAGCAAAGTTTTTCTTTTAAAAAAAAAAATACTCATTTATTAATTTGAAAGTCAGAATTAGGGAAAGACAGAGAGAGCTTCCATCTGTTGGTTCACTCCCCAGATAGCCCCAACAGCTACAACTGAGCCAATCCAAATCCAGGAGCTTTTTCAGGATCTTACATGAGGGTGCAGGACACAAGTACTTGGACCATCTTCTGTTGCTTTCTCAGGTGATTAGCAGAGAGTTGGACCAAATGTGGAGCAGCTGGCCCTCAAACCGTCTGCCCAAATTGGATGCTTGTGCCCCAGGCGGCATTTTCATCCGCTACACAACAGTGCTAGCCCCAGAGCAAGTTTTCAATTCCTCACTTTACCAAAGGATGCTTGTCTTGACAGAGGAATTCACAGGGTGCCACTTTAAACACCAAGTCTCCTTAGAGCATTTTACAACTTACAAACCTTTGATTTATAAGCAACTTTTTAGTTACACATCTGTTGCATGAAACAAGGTCCACATGCACAGATGTGTGTGCACAGTTAGATATTGAACTCAACATGTGTAGTCCCTGACAATTTACTTGGCTGAGCAGATGCTGTCAGGATCACAGATCACATCCTAAGACCTGTGCTAAGATGTTATCAAATTGTGCAAGCAGATGTTCCTTTCTGCAGTGGAAGGGCTGCATCTTGGAGATTCAGACAACAGACACGATTCTACCATCACCACAGATAGCAGAGGGTACAATACATTACAGTGATGGGCAGAAAGGTGGGTGGAGAGAAGCCAAAGTCAAAGAGAGGGGCATGCCTTGTCCTTTCTCCCTGGGCTTTCTGATAATTCTCTCACACAGAAGCTACTACTAGAAGAACCAGTTGGGAAGTATGGGCATTGGAAGGAGGTCAAGGCTGTCTTTGAAACACTGAGGGCTAAGTGCTAGAAGCCAATAAAAAGTCAGGAGAAGCGCATTCAGAGCCATTCTACCTCAGTGTGACTAGCCTTAGAGGAGATTTATGACAAAGGTAGCAAAAGTCTGCACATAATTCTTGCTGACACATTTGGAAGCTGAAATGCTTTCTTGGTATTTATAAATATAAAACAGGAAAACTATAATTAATGGCCCAAGTATGACCAAAAAAGGTCTTTGCTATTCAGTTTTTATGTGATCTTGAGGGTCTTGTAAATGGTGGCAGACAGATCACTCCTCCCAGGCACCAACTGAGTCATGACCAGTAATTGAAGAAAGACACACACACACACCACACACACACACACACACACACACTTGGACTTTTAAGTATCCCTCTTTTGCTTTCACAAGAGAAGAGGAAACAAGTTATCAAATCAGAAAACTGTCTATAAAAGAATACAGGCTTAGAGTTGGCTGCTTTGGACAGGAGCTCACCAGCTCAACATATTTGTAGGTTGAAATAGAACCAGTGATTCTGGTTTAACTGTTTACCTGTTTCTTTTTGTCCTGCCAGAGCCAGGAGGTCCATCTTTCACCATTGGCAAAGCTATTTGGTTACTCTGGGGTCTGGTGTTCAACAACTCCGTACCTGTGCAGAACCCAAAGGGGACCACCTCCAAGATCATGGTGTCGGTGTGGGCCTTCTTTGCTGTCATCTTCCTGGCTAGCTACACTGCCAACTTAGCTGCCTTCATGATCCAAGAGGAATATGTGGACCAGGTTTCTGGCCTGAGTGACAAAAAGGTAAGAGACCTATGTGAAATTTGTCATCTTTCACTCCATCTTGTTCTCAAAATTCTCCTGTCCATTTTGTCTTGAGAATTGACAGGTCTTCTGTTTTTCTTAAACTGGGGCATGGGAGTGGAAATCAGTTTCCCTACTGAAATAATAGGACTACATGTTTACCTCCTGATTTGTGAAAGGTTGTCAAAAGTACTCCCCAGGTGGCAAATAAGGAGCTTGGTGTGTTAGAGGCTTTCTGAATATCTGGTAGCTCTTGGTGCTTTTGGTTAGGTAGCTCTGTCAGCACTCGGTAACCCACTAGGTGGTTATTAGAGGGTTGCCCCTGTGTACCCACATGGAAAAGACTGGAGCGTTAAGGTCTCATTTTCTTCCCAGTGGTGTTTGACTGTGGGCTCTCCTTTTGTTTTTCTACACACGCATGTATTCTTACGACTGAGCAGGAGGGTTGTTCACATTGTGTCTTGAAGAGAAGTAACTGCTGTTTAACTCAATGAGGGCCCTCTGTGCTGCTGATAAATGGGTTGCCTGCAAACCAACTGTAGCCCTCCCCATGGGCCTGTGCATTCAAGAGTAGGAACATATTCTCTGGTCTTCATAATTTCTGCACATGGATGTACTAAGCCTTCTAGGTCTGTCTGAGGCGTCACAGTGAGGACAATCTAAGACTAATGACAGGAGCCTCCTTCATGAAGTGTCCAGTAGAGCTAAGGGCCAAAATAATTGTGGAGACTTTTACTCACAACCAATTCTCTATTTCCTTAAGACTTAGAAAATATTATTCCCCACCCCAACTTGTAACTCCAGGATTAAGCCAGAAGATAATGGGATATGGACAAAGTGCCTTAAGATCAAATAATGTCTTATCACATGGTTTAGGTTTCCTCAATATGAAACCCTAGACATGTAAGCAAATGGTTTGAGAGGAGTGAACAGAAGATATATTATCTTTGGGGTCTAAGGTTCTGATTTTTCTATCTATCCATCTCTACTCGTTGGGAACATTCAAAACCATGTTGGGAAAATAAACAATATCTTTAGGAAATGAGAAATGTATATATTATGTGTATATGTATATATATGTGTGTGTGTGTGTGTGTGAGAGAGAGACATTCACTGTATTTGATTCATTGTATTATCTTGTCCTCTGATTTATCTTCCTCTATAATTTTTCTTCCTTATTTTTAAACTATTCTTTCATATTTCCTTCTCCTTTGTTTTAAGATTTTAATTATCTAACTCATGATGTGTTATATATTCATATATTCATTCATTTAAATTTCTCTCTCTCACACACACATGCATGTACACATTGTTCCTTCATCAACATCTTTCAACATTTGATCCTCACTAGAGTTTGAATTAGATACCTGCTATCACCCCATGTTACAACCATGACCACTCTCACAGCTATCACCTTTTGTGACTATTTCTGTGACCCATGTAGTAGTATTGATAAGAAAAACAACTTGGGGATAAGAGCTTGGATGTGGTGTAGATAAGGTAGACCTTGCCTTCCTGGATACATGGATATTGTGGAAGTTTAATGGGCCATGCCCCCATGTGTAGATTCTCAGAAGGTATACCAGATCATGTCCTCTCACCAGAAGATGGCAGAGGTATAGTGGATTGTGAAGCCACATGGAGTATGGTGGGGTCATGTCACCTTGCACTGATGTAGCAGAGTGTAGAGACCATGTCCTCATGTATGAATGTAGCAGAATGTTGTGGGACCATGTCACCATATGCTAATATGGCAGCTGAATAATAGCCTACAGCCCTTCTTAGAGCTCCAGACTGTTCAAAGGGGAACCACCATATATATTACAATGTTTTCTTCAATTGTCTATGAAAATTTCTTGAAACACTGAATCTTCTTATACCATTGTGAGCTACCCAGCAACAACTGAAAGCATGTCTTCATTTGAACTAAGCACAGTTAGAATGGAGGGAAGTTGTTTTGCCTTGTGTGGTTTTGAAAGAACCTAATCATCCCATGCTGTTTGATGCAGAGAGGATATGAACTTGACCTCTCTACCACATTGGTTATATTCTGAAATTTTGGATCCCATCAGTTCTGTCAAAGACTTTTCAGCATGTCCCAACTCTCTAGTCTTTTTTTAAGCTTTTATTTAATGAATGCAAATTTCATAGGTACAACTTTAGGAATACAGTTGTTCTTCCCTCCATACCGGCCCTCCCACCCCAACTCCTGTCCAGCCCCCTCTCCCATCCCATTCTTCATTAAGATTCATTTTTAATTAACTTTTATACAGAAGACCAACTCTATACTAAGTAAAGATTTCAACAGTTTGCACCCCCATACACACACATACAATTTATTAAGTACTGTTGGAGAACAGCTTTTGCAGTTAATCCTCATAGTACAACTCATTAAGGACAGAGGTCTTACATGGGGATTAAGTGCACAATGACTTCTGTTGTTAATTTAACAAATAACACTCTTATTTATGATGTCAGTGATCATCTGAGGCTCTTGCCATGAGCTGCCAAGGCAATAGAAGCCTTTTGAGACCACAAACTCCGTCAGTATTTAGACAGGGCCATACGTAAAGTGGAAGTACTCCTCTCCTTCCTTCAGAGAAAAGTACATCCTTTGATGACCCCTTCTTTCCACTGGGATCTCACTCACAGAGATCCTTCATGTAGGACATTCTTTGCCACGTTGTTTTTGCTTGCTTTTTTTTTTCTTTTGGACAGGCAGAGTGGACAGTGTGAGAGAGAGACAGAGAGAAAGGTCTTCCTTTCACCGTTGGTTCACCCTCCAGTGGCCGCCGCAGCTGGTGCGCAGCAGCCAGCGCACCACGCCGATCCGATGGCAGGAGCCAGGTGCTTCTCCTGGTCTCCCATGGGGTGCAGGGCCCAAGCACTTGGGCCATCCTCCACTGTACTCCCTGGCCACAGCAGAGAGCTGGCCTGGAAGAGGGGCAACCCAGGACAGAATCTGGCACCCTGACCGGGACTAGAACCCAGTGTGCAGGTGCCGCGAGGCGGAGGATTAGCCTATTGAGCCGCAGCGCCGGCTGTTTTGGCTTTCAATGCCTGAAACACTCTAATGGGCTTTTCAGCCAGATCCAACTGCCTTAAGGGCTGATCCTGAGGTCAGAGTGTTACTTAAAGGGATTGTCATTCTATGGCTCTGCTGTGTGCGCTGCTTCCCATGTTGGACATTCTCTCCTTTTTAATTCTATTTTTAGTACCAGGCAGTTGATGCTATTTATATGATCACTTGACCACTTAGTCCTATCTATATGTTCACTTTAACACTTAATATGATCACTTTAACAAACTAATGGCATTTTTACAACCAGTTTTAATGGTATTTGGGGTCCCATGACAAGTTTTTAAACTATACCCTTAGTCCATAGAAATGTATGCAGAACTATACAGCTTTACAGTTACAAGCTTCCTCCTCCCTCTCTTATTCCCCCTCCTATTTTTTACTGAGATCTATTTTTTATTTTTGACAGGCAGAGTGGACAGTGAGAGAGAGAGAGAGAGAAAGGTCTTCCTTTTGCCACTGGTTCACCTTCCAATGGCCGCCACGGCTGGCACGCTGCGGCCAACGCACCGCGCTGATCCGAAGGCAGGAGCCAGGTGCTTCTCCTGTTCTCCCATGGGGTGCAGGGCCCAAGGACTTGGGCCGTCCTCCACTGCCTTCCTGGGCCACAGCAGAGAGCTGCGGAAGAGGGGCAACCAGGAAAGAATCCAGCGCCCCAACCGGGACTAGAACTCGAACTGTGCTGGCGCCGCTAGGTGTAGGATTAGCCTATTGAGCCATGGTGCCGGCCTGAGATCTATTTTCAATTGACTTAATACATGTATGATTAACTCTATGTTAGATAAAGAGTTCAACAGATAGTATGAAGAACAAAAAGACAAAAAAAAAAAAATGAAACTGTTCCTTGTCAAAACAAGGGTTGCTCCAGTCATTGCTTCTCAAAGTGTACATTTAACTTCTGTGGATTTTGTTTTAGGTGCTTTATTTGTTCTTACATATCAGGGAGAACATATGGTATTTGTCCCTTTGGGATTGGCTTATTTCACTAAGTATGATGTTTTCTAGATTGATCCATTTTGTTGCAAATGACCGGATTTCATTTTATTTTTTATTGCTGTGCAGTATGCCATAGTGTACATATCCCACAATTTCTTTATCCTGTCTTCAATTGATGGGCATTTCAGTTGATTCCATGGCTTAGCTATTGTGAATTGAGCAGCAATAAACATGGAAGTGCAGATTGCTCTTTCATTTCCCTTGGGTAAATTCCTAGGAGTGGGATGGATGGGTCACATGGTAGACCTATATTCAGATTTTTGAGGTATCTCCATACTGTCTTCCATAATGGCTTTACCAGTTTGCATTCCCACCAGCGGTGGAATAGGGTTCCTTTTTCTTCACATCCTTGCCAGCATTTGTTGTTGTTTTATTTCTGTATGAAAGCCATTCTAACTGGGGTAAGGTGAAACCTCATTGTGGCTTTGATTTGCATTTCCCTGATTGCTAGTGATCCTGAACATTTTTTCATATGTCTTTTGGCCATTTGGATTTCTTCTTTTGAAAAATGTTTAAGTCCTTGGCCCATCTCTTAACTTCATTGGTTGGTTTGTTTTTGTGAAGTTTCTTGATCTCTTTGTAGATTCTGGTTATTAATCCTTTATCTGTTGCATAGTTCACAAATAATTTCTCCCATTCTGTCAACTGTCTCTCCACTTTCCTGCTTATTTTGCTTTACAGAAACTTCTCAATTTAAAGTAATCCCATTTGTTAATTTTGGCTTTGACTGCCTGTGCCTCTAGGGTATTTTCCAAGAACTCTTCACCTGTGTCAATGTCTTGCAGGGTTTCCCCAAAGTTCTCTAATAATTTGATGGTGTTGGTTCATAGATTTAGATCTTTAATGCATGTTGAATAGGTTTTTGTGTAAGGGGTAAAGTAGGGGTCTTGCTTCTTACTTCCGCATATGGAAATCCAGTTTTCTC